AGATAGATAGATAGATAGATAGATAGATAGATAGATAGATAGATAGAGAGAGAGCGCGAGAGAGAGCGAGAGAGAGAGAGAGCGAGAGAGAGAGCGCGAGAGAGAGCGCGAGCGAGAGAGAGAGCGCGAGAGAGAGCGCGAGAGAGAGCGCGAGAGAGAGCGCGAGAGAAATTTTTATGTCTACTTATGAGACACAGACCATGTGAAGAATAATAACTACTATTTAACTGATATAGGTATTTTTAGACATCAATTGAATCTAAAAAAACTACTTGGGTTATTTCTGTCTAGTCATGGAGTGAAGAGGACGAACTGGAAATACCTTCCATCTGTCTGTCTGCTTGTGCATGTTGTGAGCGTGATAACTTAAAAAATAATTGAGGAACCAATGTTCATTTTGGTGTTTGACTGCATCTACGCATAAGAAAGTTTCCTTTTGAAAATTGGGTTGCCACTTCAAAATCCAAGATGGGTTCCGCCATATGTATATGTAAACATCGTGAGCTGGATAAAATGAAAACAAAAATGAAACGTGCCAACTTCTAGTTTGTTGTGTAGCAGAGGTCACTATCAAAAATTGTGTTGACGCATCAAAATCCAAGATGGCCACCGCCATATACAGTGTGTATATATGACCACCCCATCATTTCAGAAAACCATACTTTCTAGTTTTCATGGTAATTAGAAGTAAAGTTTCCTCAAATGACAGGAGTGGCCCTTGGAGTGGCTGAAGATTAATCTTTGGTAGCCAAAGCCACTTTGGCTCCTCCATTGCGACTGGTAGTGGATAAAATTGCTCCTTCCACTCACCAGCATTTGTCATTCTGCGCTGCCTGGAACCAGCAAAAGAAAACAGAAAATAAACTACCTGTACCTCTGGTCTTCTCCACAGTGTAGCTCCTAATATGTTGCACCATAAAGATGAAGGTTTGCGTTCAGGTCTCTCTTGTAAATGAGTCCCCGAGGCTCAATGTGATGTATGAATAAAGGTTGAATGAATCCTCAGCATTCTCTGTTCAACTCCAGTATTAAAAAAATGCACTCATCTGAAAAACTGTATTCACCATTTCACATCAGCGTTCTGCTTGTTATTAATTAAATAGCAGATAAAAATAAATAAATAAATGTGTTTATTGTTGGTCGAACTTTAGTACAAACCAGTTAATGGCATATTTACAAGGACGCCTTTTAAAAAGGATGAGATCAGTCTATTTGTGTACATGTAAAAGACCTGATTTTACAGTCAAATCATTTTTATTCTGGTAAAATTAATTAATTTGCAGGTTCACATTTTCTTGCTATTATTTTACTTTTGTTTAACATGAATAGTCCTGTGGGTGACTGTTCTTATTTGTGTAAATGTGAATGTACGGGTATAGAATATCTTGATAATCTGCCTTACATGATCAACATGGAACTAAATATTTATCTCATCCTGGTCCAAAGAACAGATTGAGGTGAACATCTTGTGTGGAAAAAATGCATCTAAACTTCTAAACTGGTTTTATCAACCTGATGTCCACATTCTGTTTTGAATGAAAACTTTCCACAAATGGCTTCAGCAAATGGACTGGATGTTCTGATTATAAAACATTCAGGTGTCTCTGATTTCTCCTCTGTAGCAGCAGCTGCATTTGGAGCTTCGACCACCACAGCTGCACTTCCCTCATCATTTATTACTAATCAACCACAAATGTGAAACCTACTACTCCCTGTGATATTAAATCTGTCAAGTGCTTGTGTAGGTGAAAGCAATCAGTAAGAGCAGAACAACAGACGCTGCTTACATAAATGTTTCTCTCATTGGAAGTTCATCACAACTGCTTCTTTCTTCCAAGTTTCTTTTTTTTTTTCCTGGTGTTTTCTATTTAAAATTAAATATCTCACTTGGTTGAGTGGTCTAGACTAGACCTTGGATTCTAAAAAGGCTGATCCTACATTATTTTTATTATAGTTTATTATCAGCCTCACTTTGTTGACTATTATAATGAAATCATTGGAAGACTCTACATGTGCTGTAACCGTGGCTGTTTTACAGACTGCGGCCTGAAATAATGTGGTGTTTGTTTTTTCCCACCCTTCTGTAGTGACAGCATGCCAAAGCGGATGGCTCTGATCTGCTTCCTGTCTCTGGTCATGCTGATGAGCATCCTGGGAAACCTGCTGGTCATGGTGGCCGTCTGCAAAGACAGACAACTCAGGTGGGTGTTTATATAATTTACACATAAAATGAAACTGTTTGTGTTGTAAACATCACATAGTAAGACTGGCTTTACAACAGCTTGATGTGATGAGCTGGTTTGCTCTTTTAGAGGCAGATGGAGTCACAATACGGCTGAACTTTCTTGCAGTTTTATGGAAAATCCCAAACACTTTGCAGCAGCTAATGTCTTGTTTTTGTTCTTTGTGACTAAGGATTCACTACAAGATCCACACAGAGACACGGGCTTTCTAGAACAATCT